AAAACCTGAGTGTGATGCTAGGTAAAGCTCCATGGTAACAACTCCAGGAGTATGTGTTTGGAGTTTTTCCCCCACGTATTTATCAGGTTTGTAGTCTGTAGAATTTATAAATATTTAATTTGATGCCTTAAGATTTGACATTGGTCAATCCATGAGGATTTTTGTTGGGGAAGACCATTGGAAAGGCAGATGATTGCTCATCGTTAACATTTTAGACTCATAACGTTTTTGTGTTTGACTTATTAGGGCTTACGTTTCAAAAAGGCCCATGTAACACATCCTGAATTGAAAGCCACCTTTTGCCTGCCGATACTTGGTGTAAAAAAGAATCCCTCATCCCCACTATATACGTCTTTGGGTGTTATTACCAAAGGTACTGTCATTGAAGTGAACGTGAGTGAGTTGGGCCTTGTGACACAAGGAGGCAAGGTTATTTGGGGTAAGTAAAGTTTTGAATATGCTGCTATTATAACCCTAAAATTGAAATTTTTAAGTTGGTAGGAAGTATGTAAGCAAATTTTAATGCAGAATTGCTAGATAAGTAAAAATGATGTAAATCAGACGTAAACTTACAAAAAATACTTCTGTAGACACAAGTGTTATGAATGTGATTCTTTTTAGTTTGGATTATTGATATCAGTTTATAAAGTGTACTAGATTTTTAGATTTAGGGCTGTTTTAAGAGAAACTATGAAAGAAGCAGATGGAAAGTTACAATTGTAAGTAACATATTGGAAGGCATTAGAATTCCCCCAGGAATGGGGGAAGGGAGACCTACATCAAACACATAGCCACACTATTTCAATAATAATTAAAACACAGAAAGACGCCATGCCTCGTTTTCGTGGTTTTCTGCTTTTAGTGTCCAGGTAAGCTTTAATGTTCTTCAAAATTGAAGAGTACTCTCTGCCTTCTTGATTGAGTCTTTATATGAGTCATTAACTCCTACTTCATATTGGCAGACATCAGTTTTAAAATAGGTTGCTAGATTAACTTGAAACTTAATGAAAACTTACTGCATTTTCTAGTAAGAAAAGTGTGTGGAAAAGCAACAATGCTCAGGTAAATCCACAAGGGCTTGTTAATACAACGTACTAACAGAATGGAGCTGACCACTATTTGTAAAAGTGTATCAATAATATGTAAAAATTGCCTCCAGAACTTGTTTGATTTTGAGCGATTTTGTAAAATCTCATTGATCCTACTATCGTTTATTTTTTTCTTTCTTAAAAGTGTCCATTAGAAATATTTTGGGCAAAGTTAATTTTTATTACCTAATCTCTCCTTTTTCCCGCGTTGTTTTCTTCAGGAAAATATGCCCAGGTTACCAACAATCCTGAAAACGATGGATGCATAAATGCAGTGTTGCTGGTTTGACAGCACTTTCAGACAAGTAACTCTTGACAATTACTGAAGACTACTCACCAGTTAAGAAGACACCGTTTCTGTGGTGGTTCTCCAAATACTGCCCAACAGCCTTACATATCTGCAGCCTTCAAGAGAACTATTCTATTGTAAGAAACATTAAAATAGGCTTATTTACAAATTGGTCTTTATTTTTTAGTCTGTTGAGCATTTAGGCGTTCATCAATCTGAATAATGTTTTAAAAAGCAATTATAGGGGAGCTGGGTAGCTTACTCAGCACTCTGGGCTGACAGTGCAGAGCCTGCTTGGGATCCTATGTCTTTTCTCTCTCCGCCCCTCTCCCTCTCTCTCTCTCTCAAAATAAAGATTTAAAAATACATTTAAAAAAGATTTAAAAAAGCAATTGTAGAAGTATCTTGGTCTGTATCTGCATTAAGAAGTGGATACTCAGCAATGCAGATTTTTTGTTACTGGAAAAATTAGTATAGTTGAAAACACCTTTTATCATAAAGGTTCGTGCACACTTAAAACTAGAGCCTATGCTAGGAAACTGTCATTTCTGAGACCTTACCTGAAGTCTTTTTTCTTCATTAATCCTAAGAAAGGTAGGGTTAACCCCTGGTAACCTTTGTTTATAAGGTATTTAAAGTACAGGAGAGAAGGCACACTAAATAGAGTTCAGAAAAATCTTTTCACCTCTAGTTTTGTATTTTACACATTTTTTCTTCCTCTCAGTCATGTATACTTCCATCTACTAGGAACTGTATTTTCTACTCAAAATATATGGAAAAAAATACAATAAAATGTTTATACTTTCATATATTTAACAGGGTTAAAAATGTAAGTAATTCCAGGTAAAAGTTTTAAAAACACTGCACTGATGCTCTTTATGAGCAATTTGTTTGCAGTTAACGTGAATAATATAAAAAAGATCATGTTTCAGGTTTTGTAACTTAGTCAAAGTGCTCTTGTGAATGTTGGTAGCTCTGAGCTTTTAAGGTGTAATATCACATTAATCTATAATCACGTTAATGGTTTTAAATTGTTTATTTTTAAAGTCTGTCTTGAAAGTACAACCAATGTGATTAATTGTGCCTTTAACAAAATTATTTTATGTCTAAACAAATTCAATTATCAAAACACAGGCCAGGAAACGATCACAAAACATACTACTATTAAAACTTAAAAAAACAAAAAAAAAAAACTACCAAGAAAACAAACATGAGTACCTCAGTAAGACTTGCTCTTCTAAATAACGTAACATCTTTTCTAAATACTGTAAACATGGAAGTTTTAGAACACATACACACTTAGGAAAAGAAAGCCTATTTCCTTGGGAATGACTATCCAGTATGATACAATTACTTTAGGATGACAGAAGCTGAACTTTTCTTAACAATTAAGATTTTAACGACTGATTTTTGCCACTAATAGAAATGGGGAATGTGTGAACGACTATGTTTTGGAAGGTGGGGGGGGGGGAAGGTTAAAGGTAAGCACAATACTACAGAACTAAGGTCCACTTATCTTTTAGAACCCAAAATAAGCAAATTAACTATCATGTACAAAGAAAGCTTGATATTAAATATACCAACAGAAGCCTAACATTTGTAACTAATAACACTCATGAAAGACTGGCTAACACCCTAACATCAGATTAGCCACTAGTGGACATACAAGGCAGAAATTTCTAAAATGCTATTACACAGATGGGTAATGTTAGTATAAATTCTTTATTTACATTAAGATCTGTATCAGTTTGCTGGTGTGACCAAACCTTAGAAGGTAATCCCTAACGGTAAAGCAGTACTTAATAGCAGGTATTCAGATACTACGTCAAGACTCAGTTTGATGTAATCATAAACCTTCAAGATAATTTTCTGAAGTCACTGAAACACTTTTAGGTAGTGTTCTGGTGGTCAGCTAAAAGCAAACCATTGATCACCAGTAATTGTTACCTTGCCACGTTCATTCTGCAGTGAATGGAAACACCGTGAATATAGACATTTTAAGTAGAAGACTGACATTCTGTCATGCTATTTGATTTTATAAAAAATCATAATAGATCCTCTCACCTTTAAAAGTTGTAGAGGAGCTTTATAATAAATTCTTAAATATATTTCTGTGATGTCTAGCAACTGGAGAATTTAAACTTGAAAGCAGAACTAAAATTTTGCTAATATATATGTTTTATATTACATAAGGAAATATATACGTATTTACACAAACTGAAGTGAAATCTTTTCCAGAAATAAAACTTCTAAACAGAAAAAAGCAGTCCACAAAGGACTATAGAATGTGACTAGACACTCAACAACTAGACTGGCTGGCTGAAATCAGATTTCAGTCCTCTCTAATTCTGAAGTTTTTCCAATGCCTTGGCAAAAACTAGGTATCTGATTCGTTTTATTCAGATTCCTTACTGAGGACAAATTTTGTTATCAATTCTATACTCACTGAGTACAGAACTCATTTACTGGACACGAACATGTTACTAACCATGACAGTAAGGTTTTTCTACGTGACCTCACTTTCTCTACCATCTACAAACCCCAAAATAACATTCTCTGTCAGAGATAATATGTATCAAAAGTTTTCTGGTATGCTAAGCAAAAAGTTCTGCAATTGCTGAAAATGCTCTTACTGTTTAAGAATAAACCAAACAAGTTTAACAAGGTGAGTGTATACTGTTAGTCCCCACTTATACACGAATAACTGATAATTTTGTGAACTCAGCAACTATATATTCACCTATCAAGAGTTGTCAGCTCAAATTTCTTAAACTATACCCGAGAATAATGAATAGTCCAAGTAAAAAAGTAAAATATCTAAGTGTTAGGTTTTTAAATCTATTGTAAGAAATTAAAAATGGAAAGGTTAAGAATTTACTAAATCTTCCTATCTTTATTTCCCTAACTGTGGTAGTAAAGTTTCTCACAAAATCTATAAAATGGCATCAACATGATAGATACACTAGTACTAGTACCAGTCATACTTATTTTTTCGACTAATCAGCATTTGTTCAGAAAACAAATGGCCAAAGTGCTTTAATTTTTCATCTGGAGTAAAGTCATCTGGCTTGCCTCTGAGCAGTAACGAAGGAAAATGTAGGGGATACGAGCATTCAAAATTTACTGTCATTTTACCTGCTTAAACATTTAACTCAGCTTATTAGATCTAAAATGCCAGTATCTCAAAATAAAATTTAATGACCTCACCTGACCATAGACTAGGATAAAGCATTCAACATCGATCCTTAGCACCTCAGATAACGGCAGAAAGACTTAACGTTTTGTTTTTTTCCATGTAAAGACCAATTCTGTTTTAAAAACAATCTAGGGGCGCCTGGGTGGCGCAGTCGGTTAAGCGTCCGACTTCAGCCAGGTCACGATCTCGCGGTCCGTGAGTTCGAGCCCCGCGTCGGGCTCTGGGCTGATGGCTCAGAGCCTGGAGCCTGTTTCCGATTCTGTGTCTCCCTCTCTCTCTGCCCCTCGCCCGTTCATGCTCTGTCTCTCTCTGTCCCAAAAATAAATAAAAACGTTGAAAAAAAAAAAAAACAATCTAAATGGTCTCAAAGCATTCTCCACAAGAAGCGCAAATCTGAGCACACCTAATAATGAGAATTTTTTTTTTTAATTTTCCTAGGCAAAAGCCTTTGCTACAGTAACAATGTATATATACAGACTAGCTTGTAACCTGTCAAGAACAAAGTAAGAGTGAGCAAGACCAGAGCAACACCCAAAGCCTCCGATTTGATATAAGCTCTTAACTGTAGCTCCCTAGGCAGATTTATTCTTGTCATCTGGATCGAAGGTGGTGGGGGCATGGTCCAAATCTACCCAGGTGTGGATGCCAAGGATATAAGCTGGCAGACAGGCAGGCAGACCTTTTGGTAGGAATCACTCTCTTGAGTTACGGAAGTGGACAAAAGCTGGGGAGAATATACAACTCTAGAGTAAAGGCAGTGGCAGAATCAAGGAGAAGCCTTAGGAAGGGTTCTCACACTTCTGAAGTATACATGTTAATTGGATGAGGACAAAAGTATAGTCCCCAGCTTCAAATGAAACGTATATAATCATGAGTGCCGACATGCCGAAGTTAAGTCCCTAGCAGTATTGTTAGTGTAAGATGTTGTAAAGATGGAACTGGAAACAGATTTTGTACCTTTCCTCAGACACAAGTCAAAGGAGGAAACACAGCTACGAATCAGGAGGCCAAAATACCACCTTCATAAACCCTTCACCGTAAACTTCTGTATTTGTGCTGTCATTTAGTTGAAGTATATTTTCACATACTGACATTTTTGTTTTGACATGCCTACATTTTAAAAAATGATTAGTTTTGATTTTTTAAGATAAAACTTCTGGAACCTTCACCAAGTTTACTATTAAAATCCATAGTATAAAAGATTTCTGTGATCCTTACAAGTAACGGAAAGCCTACTACTTTCAGTTTAATTTATATTTTCTGAAATACTAACGGTCAGGTGTCCCAATTGTTAAAGAAAATATAGTATGATCTGGTTTCCCCAAATCGAAACATGGTTAATAAAAATAAAAAATTGTACTTACACCAAACAGCCTGAAAAATTAAAAAGAATGGTGAATCCTAGGTCCTAACGGGGAGGGAAAACTGGCATCATAAATAAGTTCAAAGTAAAATTTTAGAATTTTTGCCCTGTGCCCCATGCCATTTATTACCATATTTTAAAAACAACAATTATGTTACAAAGAAGAGGGTTCTAGCATCTGCATTTCTTCTTGACTCATGTCAGCTTCGCTTTCTTCTTAGCAGGTCCTTTATGCCCTTTGGCCTTCCTTCTTAAATTCCGCCTGTCGACCACAGGCACCTCCACTTCTATCTCCTCTGAGCTGCTATCCACAGTTTTCTCTGCTGACTGTGTAAACTGATCCAGTTGCTCCGAAGATGCTTCAGACTGTTCCTCTGACTGGTTCTTCTGTCCCGCGTTCTGTGCAAATGGCACATCTTCAAGTTCAACCTCTATCAAAGAACTCTGGGGAAGAGCTGTAGATGTTTCTTGGGGCTCAGGTACCCCCTCCTCACCTTGGTCTTCCAATGAAGAAGTAGTATTGGGCGATAAATTTTCAGAGATGGACTCCTCAGAAAATTCAGCTATCACAGAGTTTGGAAAACCACTGTCAGATCGTTCTTCATTTGGGACAGTACCAACATTGTCTGAACTCCCAAAATGGGCTTTCTTTCTGGAAACTAGTGGTAGTTTCTCTTCAGTGTGCCCTTTTTCATCAGATGGGCCTTCGTCTAGCAACATTTCTGAGTCAGTTATATGTGAGGTCTAAAAATAAAACACCTGGTGAACAAACCTTTGCAGTACAGTTCTTACATAAATTATTCTCAGACACTAATATTTAGTGACAATGAACTGCATTTTAAAGAATTCAGTACTCAGTCACTTTCATTAATCAGGTGTGCATACTCTGAACACAAGTCAATTTTTTCAAAACTGATGTGATCATCTGACTCCTCCTTTAAAGACATAATAAAAGTACTTCGGACATTTTAAACTTCCTATGAAGTTTCTTTAAAACCATCAATGAACTAAAACTTCTTGGTGTCTTGCTCTTACTTGAGCCACAAGCAAGAGTCCTCTGGAGTGTGACACTGGGCCATCCCACTAAGTTTGACTATTACTTCACTAGATGAAAGGGAAGGGCAATGGAAATTTTATTCATTTATTTAGTGAAACACTAATAAAATAATGCCATACAGTAGTTGTTTAGCCTTAAAGTGGAATATTCAGAAGTCAAAATGAAACTCCTTTTAAAATATTCCATCAGGTTTTCCCCACTCATCGAATCTCTCTCCCCAATTAAAATGTGTTAAAATGGTCATAGACTATGTAAGCAACAGGTATTCGAGTATTTGGTAAACTATGTTTTATCCGTTTTTCTAAGCATTTCTCTAAATCTACAAAACAAAACTCATTTCAGGGCACCTGGGTGCCTCAGTTGGTTAAGTGTCCGACTCTTGATTTCGGCTCCGGTCACGATCTCACGGTTCAGTTCCTGAGAATGAGCCCCATGTCGGGATTGCTGTGGCAGCACAGAGCCCGCTTGGGATTCTTTCTCCCTCTCCCTCTGCCCCTACTCTGCTCATTCTCTCTCTCTCTCAAAATAAATATACTTAAAGTAAGTAAAATATAAAATAAAAAAACTCATTTTGTTAACGTAAGTCACATATGTATGAATAAGGTTACAAAGATTAGAATTTATGGAACGTTACAGATTGCATTATTTTAAAATACCTAATGTAGTGTGATAATATACAATTAATTTTCCTGAAGGACTATATATATATTAAGTGGAGGAAAATATATCCACTGCAATGCCCCTTCCACGTCACCAACACTGGAACAGGTGGACTGTAAGAAATTATCTCCCTCTTACCTTATCCTGTGCAACAGTCTCAGGAGGTTTTGAAGATTCTGCCACCACTGGAACAAGAGTTGCCGAGTCTTCACTGGAATTAAAAGACTGCAATTTTGTTTCTTCATCTAAAACTTCACTAGCGGAGTCCTCCTCTTCAGTTGTAAGTGAGGCCTTCAGAGTATCATCCATTATCTCACCATTCAGAGGCTCTAATTCAGATTCCTACATGAATGGGGGAAAAAAGTAAGTCAGGATACAATTTTAAGGTAACTTATTATTTGTCATGCAAGGAGAGTCCGTTCCCAGTCTCCACCTGTCATGCACCAGGACTCAACATAAAGTTTTACCACATTATAGGACATGAGTTAAGGAATTAGTCTGAGGAAAAGACAAACTTCTCAGGCAGGGTCGGTAAAAGAAGGCACAAGTAACCCAAACTCCCCCTGTTCTCATGGAGACAGCAGACAGACCAGGATGCTCTGCAGACACGGCACAGGTCTGAGATGCAGTGAAGAAACCCTGTTCCCTTCTTGTTCCTCCTTTTTATAGGGCCAGCCTGACGGGCACCTTTTCAGTAAAAAGGCACCAGAGACTAGAGTTGATGCCAGCTCTTTACACAACACTTGGTCAGCACTTGACATCTTTGGGGCCTGCGGGAAGTTACGGTTTACCCTACCAAGGGGAGAAAGCACTGCCAGTCTTGGAGGAAGCTCAGTTTGGACACAGCTTCTTGCTGGAAGAAAACAGCCCTCAATCTGAGTTCATTTTCCAGTCAACTTTCCAGTCAACTCTGGCTCACTTTTTGAACAATCCTGCTCCTTACATCACATTAAATACGGAAATATCAGTGAGCTGATGACACAAGCCCTCCATTTATGAAATTCTTCCAATGTTTATCAACACAAAATAGTTCTATGTAATGTTTAGTAGTTCTAATGAATCTTAGTGAGATTCTAATAGAGGGCATTTGATTACCATTTTAAAACTTAGAAAACTGATGCACTCAAGTGTTCAGAAATAGATCTGTCAGAAAACTGATGCACTCAAGTGTTCAGAAATAGATCTGTCTGAATTATGTAGGATCCCTACAATCATAGGGATACTGAAATCAGGACTTAGAAAAATTTATCTGCCCAGACAATATATGGAAAATAGACTGCACACAGAAGGTATTTACAATAAAGTTCATAAAATGATCAACTAAGATAGGAAAAAATGTTGAAAGAAAAAAATGAGAAAAACATAGCAAACGCTTAAAAAAACCAGAATGTTGGTAACTAAAAGTGAGAAGCAGCAGAAGAGAGAAATCTGTCCCTCAAGTTTTCGGTTTGGGAACAGAATGGAATATTAAGAAAAAAAAAAAATTACAGGAAAAAAGGCCCAATACAGAAATAATAAGAAAGGATAAAGATTATGTTGAATTTAAGAAGATAAAAGACATCTGTCTACATAAAAATATTCAGGAGACAAGCAATATTGAAGCATTACAGTCTGAATATTCAAAGTCTAGAGTTACTAGTCATCCCCACAGAGATGAGAGTTCAACCACTGGATTGGATGCATTTTCAAAGGAGAGAACATGAACCAAAGAGCAGAAAGTCAAGAACTGAATCTTCCAGGATGGCCACAAATAAAGGGGAAAAAAGGAAGCAGAATAGCTAAGTAATAAAGCAAAACAAAACTTCAGAGATAGGAAAAACCTAGAAACCAAAATACAGTAGTGTTATAAGGCCTACATTACACGGGACTAGGGAATATTGAAGAAGTCACAGTAATCGATCTAGGTACGGAAAGTCACTAAGCGTCACTGGTGACCTACAAGACTATGTGCTCAGTGTGTTGCTGGACAAATGAAACTGGTTACATGAAGTACGTACAGTATAATCTTAAGGATATTTTTTTTTTAAGAGAAAGAGAGAACAATCACGAGTGGGGGGAGGGGCAGAGAGCGAGAGAGAGAGAATCCCAAGCAAGCTCCATGCTCAGCACAGAGTCCAACATGGAGCTTGATTCCACCATCCTGGGATTATATGACCTGAGCTGAAATCGAGAGTTGCAAGCTCAACCAAGTGAGCCACCCAGGCGCCCCTAATCGTAAGTTTTTAAAAGAGAACAAGACCACAAATACATATTCTCATAAACGTCTGGATGTGCACAAATCCCCTTTTTAAACACACACTTTACTGTCCAAATGTCCTACAACACAAGAAGAAAATGTCATTTAAAAACACAGTTTCACTGGGGCGCCTGGGTGGCTCAGTTGGTTAAGCAACCGATTTCAGTTCAGGTCATGATCTTACAGTTCGTGGGTTCAAGCCCCGCACTGAGCTTTGCATTGTGCTCCAAGCCCCGCAAAGAGCCTGCTTGGTATTCACTATCTCCTCCTCTCTATCCCTCCCCCAATCAATTTCTCTCAAATAAACTTTTTTTTTTAATAAAAAATAAAAATATAGTTTCATGAAATAGAGGAGGCAGGAACTAAAGTGGAGTAAGTTAAGAAAATAAAATTGGTGGGTCGCCTGGGTGGCTAAGTTGGTTGAGTGTCCAACTTCGGCTCAGGTCATGATCTCAAGGCTGATAAGTTGGAGCCCCGCATCGGGCTCTGTGCTGACAAGCTCAGAGCCTGGAGCCTGCTTCAGATTCTGTGTCTCCCTCTCTCTCTGCCTCTCCCTGCTCACACTATATTTCTCTCAAAAATAAGTATTTTTAAATTAAAATAAAATAAAAATGGTAATGCAGTTTCACTTATTTAGGTGCTGGCTAGACTTGGCAAACAGGTAAAAGATTTGTAAAGAAACTTAAGCATGTATGAAAGAAGAAATAAGGAATCTCTAGAGAACCAAAGGTTGAAAATACTGAAGAAAAAGAAAAGGGGGTGCCTGGGTGTCTCAAGTGGGTTAAGTGTCCGACTTTTGGTTTTGGCTCAGATCATGATCTCATGGTTTTGGGGGTTTGGGTCTCACGTCAGGCTCTGTGCAGACAGCGGGGAGTCTGCTTGGGATGCTGTCTCCCTCTCTCTCTGTTCCTACCCCACTCGCACAGTTCTCTGTCTCTCTCAAAATATATAAAACTTAAAAAAAAAAAAAGAAAAAAACAAGAACAGGAAGAAAGGGAAAAATCAAAAAGATAAGGATAAATACTTGAGGAGCTACAGAAATCAGGCCAGATAAAGTTTTCTCATGTTTAAAAAAATGAAGTTATTTTTCCAGGAATATGTAATAAATTATAGTCAAAATATATAAATATATACACATATACATGTATATGTGTATATATATATGTATAAATATATACACACATATATATGTATATGTATGTATATATATAAATATATACACACATATATATACATATATATACATACATATACACACATATATACATATATACCTAACTATAATTTTTGGTTTTGATGATGAATCTTATCCTTCTAGCCAAAATACAGGTACAACTGAGGGCTGTGGACCTTAAGGCATTGTAACTGGTTCTACAAGGTAGACCTTACAGTCCTATGATCTGTGTCACTTCTTAAATACGTTTAATTTCTCAAATTTTGTATTTTAAAAATACTGAGAGATCTTATTACCTAAGCATCCTCTATTTTATCTTTGTTGTAAGTCAAACTTTTAAAAATTTACTTTGAAATATAAAATGATATTTGTAACTTTATCCTCTTCCCAACTCTAGTACTGGACCTTGTTTAGTATAGGTAGATGCTTTTTAGCATTAAATACAATTTCTACTCCCACTCTAAAATGTATCATCATATTTTTCTAACGACATATGATTAAGAAAGTTAAAATTTAGTTTACTTTTGTTCACTTTATTTGATAAGCAGGATCTCATACCTTTTCACCATCTTGCTTTTCCAGACGTGCCTGGGTTTCTGGTGCAGGCCGAGCATCCTTATCACTACTTTCGTCCTCAAATTCAATCACACTTTGTTCGGGTTCTTCTTCCAGGAATTCTTCTGAGCTCTCTGATGTACGTACAGTAGACTCCAATCTAGAAAAGAAAAAACATTCTTACTTGTTTTATTAAGGATGAATATAAACTTTCAGGAGTCTGTTAATCAAGTAACACTTTAAAGAATCAACTAAGTGGTGTTCAGTCAACAACTTCTGGTCCAAAGGCAGTCTCCTCTTCTTACAACCTTAGCTTCTTTCCTACCTTGTTCTCCGGTTTGAGTGGTAACGTCACCATCTCCTCAAGCATGTAAGCTAAATCCTTCTCTTACTCTCTACCCATTTATGAAAAACAAAATTTGGCCCAGAAGAAGTAGTTGTAAGGGAAACGAGCTCGCGGCTCTCCAGCTTCTGAGGCTTCAGGTCTGTAGGAGAGAGGAGGCAGCTAGTGAGTAGTATCCACTGCAGCTGGTCCTCAGCGACTCTCCTGTCAACCTCCACACGTCGCACCTGCCGCCACTGTTGGTTGGAGCATTTGACATGGTGCAGCCAAGAAATGGTTATGGAGAAGCCCAGTCTGCTGCTCATACGGTGGGAGTTTGTGAGGTAGTATTATACTTTGCAGCATAAAGCTCCAGAATATTTACGCAGGTTTTACAGAAGGAATTCTTCCTATGTTCATGCTGGAGTACATGCTAGCGGAAACCCCAGGAGGCTGCTTATGGCCAAAATGATATACAACACAAAGTATTATCTCTGAACTTCAGTGAGTATCACACTAAAATTCATCACGTGGATGCTCATGCAACCTTGAGATCGAGTAGCCGTCCAGGTCACGGGTTGGCTATCTAACAGAGGACAGCCAGAGAGGAAGTTTATACAGACCTTGGATCCGGCTCCTGAAGGATCTGTTCCTAGTAAGTTTATGTTCACAATGATGTGTTTCGTTATACAGATGAACTATTTGGTGATTCTGAATCAGAACTCAATGAAGGATCAGGAGATGAGGTAAAAAGAGAAACCAGAAGAAAGGCAACCATCCCCAGAACCTGTGCAAGAAAATGCTGATAGCGGTTACTATGAAGCTCAGCCCGTGGCTAATGGCAGAGAGGAGCCTTTGGAAGAGTCCTCTCATGAACTTGAGCCAGAATCTCAAACAAAGACTGAAGAACTAAAGCCACAAGTGCAAGAGAAGAACTTAGAAGAATTAGAGGAGAAGTCTACTTCTCCTCCTCCTTGCTGAACCTGTGTCTCTGCCACAGGAACCATCAAAGCCACGGGTTGAAGCTAAACCAGAAGGTCAGTCTCAGCCACGTTGCGTGCATGAACCCTAGAGGTACAACCCTGGTCTCCCTCCTAGAAGACCAAGACCAGGCAGAAGAGATGCTGAACAGAGTGAATCTGACAACTGTAGAATAATTTGCTATCCACACAGTCATCAAATTTTTGTTGATAACCTCCCACATGATATTGATGAAAATGAACTTAAAGTTCTTCATGAGTTTTGTAAACGCTGTGGAACTGCGCATCAATACCAAGGGTTTTGGGAGAAAGCTTCCAAACTTTGTGGGTTTTGATGACTCTGAACCAGTTCAGAGAATCGTAATTGCAAAACCAATTATGTTTTGAGGGGAAGTACGTTTAAATGTGGAAGAGAAAAAAAACAAGAGCTGCAAGAGAGCAAGAAACCAGAGGTGGCGGTTACGATCGCAGGGATATTAGGTGCAATGATCGAGGTCCTGGTGGTCCACATGGAATAGTGGGTGGTGGAATGATGCATGACCAAGTTGGAAGAGGACCTCCTCCAAGAGGTGGCACGGCACAGAAACGAGGCTCTGGAGGAGGAACTGGGCAAACGGAAAGCTGCTTCACAGGACAACGTCATGGAAGCTCCCGTTGCCAGTCTCAGCAGTGGTACGTTATGCATCATGTTTGCATTCTTGTTAATTTTTCTTTTTCTTTGGCTTTGGAATGTGACGGCCTTTTTGATCATTTTTTGATGTGAAAAGCATCCTCTATCAGTTAAATTGAGGTGGACATTATTTCCCCAATTCCATAATAGGATTCACACTGTTAATTTATAAATCTAGACTTGGAGAATTAAGGGCTGAGAAATGACCGTATCTTAAACTATCTACAACAAAATGAACTTAACAGGACATGCCCAACTGAATTCAGGTCCTCTGAGTCAAAACAAATCCTCTGCTGCACATTTTAAGTGTTACTGTTTCTGCCTATTAATGTTGGAAACACAAACAATGCAATTTGTGCAACTGGAGAATCTTGTGTTTTTTCTTGGCTCCCCCCAAAAATACAACCGAACAGAAACTTGTTATGCACTCATCAAAAGGCACTGATGCTCACTCTGACTTCATTAACACGGACATCTGCAACAGGAGGCAACAGGGGGAAAAAAATCTTTCCTCTCTTTTTCCAGGAGAGAATAGTCTGTGAAATGATGAGGGCATTTTATCTGCTTGCTGTGACCAGCGTGTGTACACATAAACCTTAGCAAGACTACAAGTACATTCCAGAAGGAATATAGTTATGAACCAAATAACAGAAAGAAGAACTTTAAATGCTATCGTCTTGAACAGCAGACCAGATTCAGTAGCTCCATATCTAAGATTTTTCCACCTACCCCTTTTCAGTACAGGGATGGCTGGCTGCCCAACACATTACTCGTCCCCTTTCTCCTCTCTTTAAACTGTGTACAGTGAAAATGGTCTTTACTGTGTTTTTGTTCTCTGGTAATGTAATAAGCGTGATGGTGCCTTCTATTAATACATCAGTCTTGCTGGTAATTCTGTACAGAATAGTGTATGAACTGCTGTGCTGCAAAGCCAAACAGCTGCAAAATGTTGAAAAATCACTGAGGTATATAAAAACTGCAGTATCTTCAAAATCAGTAAAATTGACTAGCACGTTAAAAAAAAAAAAGAAAAGCAAAATTCCACAATAATTCTGGGATGTTCAATTTAAAATGCAAGGCTATGTTCCCTTCTAAAAAAAAGTATTACATCAAAATACTGCTAAGAAAACTGTAATTAATCTAACCTCTTACCTTTTCACAAATTACTAGCCTCAAATATTTAGTTATATATGCCTTTAACATAAATTTTTCACAAAAATAAACCATTTACATAATTACTCAACTATTCCAATTTAAAATTATTTACATAATGAAATCAGCAGAGGTACAGAATTTTCTACTCGAGTAAAATAATTTCACAGATGAAAAGGCAAAATTATGAATGGTTAACTCTGTAACAGCAGGTAGAACTAGTAAGACAAAAATCTAGTTTTACTAAAAATTTGAAATATTGCTTTATGATTCCAAGGAAGATAAAGGATAAAGTTTTAACCCGAGGGTTCTGTTGATTCAGCTGGCTATTAAGTTCCTAGAGGGGCTGACTGAACTTAACCACTTATGGTTATCGCTAACTTGTGTTACATCCAATAACCCAGTAAAATAAATCAGTTATAAAATAAAACTTAAGGTTTTTAAAAAACTAAACCTCAGCATTACTAAAAACTACAGCTACTGGGGCACCTGGTGGCTCAGCTGGTTAAGCTTCCTACTCTTGATCTCATCATCTTGAGTTCAAACCCCATGCTGGGCTCCACACTGGCTGTGGAGCCTACTTTAAACACAAAACAAAACAAACAAAAAACTACAGCTACTGGCAGAGCTGGTGATAACGACTCATTTGTGATAATATAATCACTAGAAAATTCTCTTGGATTTTCACACGTTATGTGTGGCCTATTTTACTCTCTTACTATCAACTTCTCACTGTAACATGTCAAAGTGACACCACTGGTAACTGTGATCAGTAATCCTTAGAAGAATTCAAATACAGACTCTTACACCAAGGTTATGTGTACGCAAACAAGGTAATAATAGACTCCACCTTGAATACTAAATACTAATTACATGGAAATAAGAATAACCAAACAATGAGAGTAAAATAAACAGTACTTGTTTATTGAAGCTGTAGGTGAAGTCTGGGGAGTCTTTTCATCTTCCCCTTGCGAACTACTAAATTCAGAATCCTGAAATCGTTTTCCAATCTTTGGCCGCTTTAGATGACTACTTCGAGTACGAGTGGAAACCGGTGTTTTATCATGACCTGAGGAAAAAAACCAGCAAAACTACAGTTAATTCATTATGTCTTGAAAGGATTACCTGTTACACTACACAGAAATTTAAGAACTATGCTAGCTTACATATATTCCCCCCCCAATTACACATTTCTTTCTCTCCTATCAGGCTAAGAAACAATGCCAATGTCTTTTTCTAAATTATGAAATAACTTTGCGTTATTCATTCCTCACATTCCTATATTGCTCTGGGCTGTGCAATGTATTTTGCATTTTCATTTATATTCTCTCCCAATGATCTTGGGAAATAAATAAGGTAGGTATCAGTCTCCCGATTTTACTGGTAAGGAAATGAGTAAAGGGTGGTGTGATAGCTTGCTTTGTTCACACAGCAAGACCAGTGGTAGTGGTGGCATTAGAACTCAGCTCTAAGTTTAACAGATGACCATAGGGGAAGAGAAGAAAAAATAAGATACAAACAGAAAGGGAGGCAAACCATAAGTGACTCTTAAATACAGAGAACAAACTAAGGGTTAATGGGGGGATTGGAGGAGACGGGGAAATGGGTGAAAGGCATTGAGGAGGGCTCTTGTTAGGATGATCAGTGGATGTTGTATGTAAGTGATGAATCATGGGAATCTACTAAAGCCAAGACTACACAGTATGTTGGCTAACTGGACAATAAAAAACAAAACAAAACAAAAAAAAAAAAAAAACAAACCTCACCTCTAGATCTTAGGTAAGTCTTCATTTACTCTAAGGGACATCCCTCCCCCCTAAATTCTTGTGTCTCACATACTGGTAAATCAGCTGAATTTCTTACCTTCAGAAGTACTTGCAAAGGCATCTTTTAGAGAGTCAATCTAAAACAGAGATACAGATTAAAGGCAAAACTTTTAGATCAGTTTTTCTCCCTATGAATCTACTTCACTCCGTGTCAAAAACCTTTTGAAACATTTTTCAAGTAGTACTTTTTGTACTATTCATCAATTAAGGATACCTACTTAAGAAATTAAAAGGTTACGTCATAGCCTCAGGTTATGAGGCTGAGCACTTACCAAGCCATCTAGTATGTTCCAATGCGACACACAGGGGTTTCTTAGTGTTCTGTCCTCAACTACGTATGTAGTTTACATACATAAAATACGTATGTCCAACCAACTTCAGAATTAACCTGTCCCAAACTGAACTCTTACCTTTTCCCAACATTATTCTCTATCTTGGTTAATGGCAATAACAATTCAGTCAGCCATTCTAGCCAAAAACCTGAGGGGGTAGGTAATGACTTCCTAACCCTCATTCAGCGAACCACAAAGCCTGTCAATTCTGACTCTAACGAATCTCTCAAAACTGTCCCCTCCTTTGTATTACCAAAGCTTTAGTTCATGCCTTTATCATCTTGAATGAGAACTAGTCCAATAGCCTCATCTCTGGTATCCCTCATTCTAACCACATGCTCTGTAACTCCCTCCAATCTAATGAAAGAAAAGCTTCCAAATCATAAATTGTGCCCACTCTCTTACTTTAAAAACAAAAACAAACAAAAAACATTTAATGGTTTATCACTGCCTAGAATACAAACTCTCAACCTCTTCGAAACCGAATGCCTCTTACATACCAAATAGGCCATTTTCTTTCACGCCTCTCCTTTTTACATGCTCGCCTTTAGAAAGCTCTAACCTTTGGCACAAAACTCCCACCTACCCTTTCCAAGTCAGCTTGGTTGCTACTTTACCTATTCCAAGACTTGGGCAGAATCAGTCATACTCTGCTATGTACCTTCAATCATTTGCTATATGCCCTATTAAGGCAACTGTAATCCTGTAGTTTATTTCCTTATTTAACAGTTTCCAATAACGGACCATCTACTTCCTCCCATGCTTGTAAGAACCATATTTTTGTACATCTGGTGCTTGCCACAGCATCTACTTTATTAGACCAACTACTGTTCATTTTTTATCACACACTTGCTGAAACCCTACAACAACATAGGCACAGAGACTTTAAGGCCTATTGATAGGACACAAACAAGGGTAAACTGTGACAGATGACTAGACAAAAATCCAGTCTTCAAGAAACCTGCAGTTCAACTAGACAAGGTAAAGACACAAATAAAGATCAATAAATAAAAGATACAAAAAGTGTAAGAGAAATACATGTAATGTTTTATGTCCCAAAATAGGAAAAACCAAGTAGAAATACCATCACCACCTAAAGAATAAATCATGTATTGATCACTTCACAGTGTATATCAAAACACCAAGTGTACAACTTGTCAAAATGTGGACAATTTTTGTCAATTATACCTCCATAAAGCTAAAAAAATGTAGATCAAATAAACAAACAAGACCACTTTCCCATGTGGTTACTGATAAAAAGAGAGATTAAAAATAGTTTAATGTGAGAAATATTTTCCTTGAACTAATTAAAATCTTAATGTAATCTGAGTAAGAATTTCTAAAACCAAAGAAAATCCCATTTATGCTGCCAACCTTATGATATGGTTTAATATATATTCTCATTTACACAACCCATTTATAAGTATTTGGCTTATTATTAAAGTAAATCATCGTATAGGAAGAGACTTTTTTCTACATTCACTGACTGGTTTTATGTCTGAAAAACAGACATAAAATGTATACATACATTTATAAGTATTTGGCTTATTATTAAAATAAATCATTGTATAGGAAGAGATTTTTTCTACATTCACTGACTGGTTTTATGTCTGAAAAACAGTACATAAATCTGAGTATATCTGAGAAATCTGGACCACAATATAATCGAACCCAGGCTTATCATGAAGTTTGAAGTTCCAAATGTAGAAAAAATTAAAACTCCTTATATGTAATTATATTATTTATGTTATCTTTAAAAATGTTTCAGGGCACCTAGGTGGCTTAGTCAGTTAAGCATCCAACTCCTGATCTCGGCTCAGGTCGTGGTCTCATGGTTTGTGAGACTGAGCCCCACGCTGACCACACGAAACGTGTTTGGGATTCTCTCCCTCTCTCTGTCCCTCCCCGCTTGAGCACATGCTCTCCCTCTATCTCAAAATAAGTATATAAACAACAAAAAATGTTTCAAAAATGTTCGGTCAACACTCATGCTAATTAAGGCAGGAATACGGGGCACAAATAATTCCCCAAAGCACTTGTCCCTAAAAGGTTACCTAGTATTTGCAAAGTGCACTACATTCCACAAAGACGTAGCATATATAGCCTCAAACTTCCCACAATAACTTCACAACCTTTAACCTACAACTAATATCACTTCTAAAAATTCATCCATGCCTCAAACTTCCCAAAGTAACTTCATAACCTTTGACCTACAACTAGTATCACTTCTAAAAATTTATCCCTGCAAGGAAAGCATTACATAGGCAAAAAGATACATGTATAAAGGTGTTCACTGCTGGGCCACTCATGTATGTAAAAAACTTAAGTATATAATACGTTAAAGAAATAAACAATAATATTTCCATATACTAGAATAGTATGCTGCTACTGAACAATCATGTTTTAAACAGTAATGCCATGGGAAATACTTGCAATACCATGTTAATGGAGAAAAACAGAAGCAGCACAACAGAAAACAAAAATGTACACAAATACATGTTTTGTAATATATATGAAATACAAATACAAAAGTGTTCACAGTTGCTGTATCTAGGGTAGTGGAATTACAAATTTTTATTTTACTTTGTATTATTGTGTGTGTATTCCAAATTATTCTTCAAGGAAAATTAAGTCCTTAGTAACCAATTAACAGGAAATACCAAAAAAACAAGCACAGTAAAAATTACGTAAGTTTGGTGAATGAACTGTAACATTTACAAAATCAAATATTAGCTGCATCTAGTTTAAAGAAACAGAAAAATCATTTCCTACAATAAACATACAGTGTACCTACAGTTAGCTGCATCTCACTAGACTGATTGTCTTCAGTTTCTGCTTCATATTCTGGAACAGATGCAAGACCATATTCTCCAGACATGGGTCTTTTGGCTTCATTTTGAGAAACTGCTGTGTATAGAAGAATTTTAAAAATTGTAACCTAATCAGTATTTGGTTTTAACTGTAGCAATGGTTGTACTGATTTTCACAAAAGCCCTGAAGAGCATCCTGAACAGAGGGTGTTGAAAATCTAGGTGTGGAACAGCTCCTTCATCAGTAACTTGCAATGAAACCTTGAAATCACAAAAAGTATTAGTTACCTGTATTTAGTGACTATGAGGAAAGTGACTATGAGGAAAGTGACTATTAGGAGGACTATGAGATTGGGAATTACCCTTTGATCCCTTGATGCCTATTCTATGCTGATATCTGGGTTTACTTCTTAACTACCAATACCTGCCAGAATGCTAGATTCTTATGGGCTATTATTCTAGGTCCTCTTATTATTAGTAACCCAAATGTTAATACATAACAAAAATTCAAACTTTAGAAAAGAGGGTCTGTTACTAGAGAGGTCGCATTACAATATACCATAACTCTGGACTGTAAGACACAACCATCAATAGGCACTTTTTTAAGCTGGACATGTGTTCAAACTGAAAACCTGTAGTTCTTACCAGTAATTTTAAGCGTTTCTCTCTGTAATGCTCTGGTGACTGGTATTCGCTGGTACCAGTGTCCAACACCTTCAACTTCCCAGAGGAGTTCATGATCTCCTGGATACTTTTCAAAGTACTGCTTGCAAGCTGAAAAATACATTTAGAATTTTCTAGAAATCCCTGATATCAATTGTTTTGGAAAAAGAAAGAAGAGAAAGCTGCTACACTCACTTAAAAATGCTAAGGCAACTCAAGAAAATCACACAGCAGTCTCATTTACGAAAACTTTAACATGATAAAAAATAAAAATCCTGATAAAAGATACGTTTCTAAAGAAAAAAAAAAGATGCGTTTCTAGTAAGAAGTTGCTACAGCCAAGGTCAAAGAGGTTTTTGCCTGCTTTCTCCAATAGTATTTTGATGGCTTCCTGTCTTACATTTAGGTCTTTCATTCATTTTGAGTTTATTTTTGTGTATGCTGTGAGAGAGTGGTTCAAGTTCATTCTGCTGTATGTCGCTGTCCAGTTTTCCCAACTGGGAAAGTTGCTAAAGAAACTCTTGCCAGAGAAACTCTTTTTTCCCATTGGATATTCCTTCCTGCTTCATCAAAGATTAGTTGGTCATAGGTTTATGAGTCCATTTCTGGGTTCTCGATTCTGCTCCATTGATCTGTGTGCCTGTTTTTGTGGCAGTACCATACTGTCTTGATGACGGCAGCTTTGTAATACATCTTGAAGCCCAGAATTATAATGCCTCCAGCTTTGGTTTTGTTTTTCAACATTACTTTGGCTGTTTGAGTCTTTTCTGGTTTTAGAATGGTTTGTTCTAGCTCTGTGAAGAATGCTGGCGTTATTTTGATAGGAATTGCATTGAATGTGTTGATTGCTTTGGGTAGTATAAACACCTTAACAATATTTGTTCTTCCAAATCCATGAGTATGGAATGTTTTTCCATTTCTTTGGGTCTTCTATTTCTTTCATGAGCTTTCTATAGTTTTCAGCATAAAGATCTTGTACCTCTTTGGTTAGGTTCATTCCTAGGTATCTCGTGGTTTTTCGTGCAATTGTAACTGGGATGGATTCCTTGATTTCTCTTTCTGCTGCTTTCATTATTGGTGTATAGAAATGCAACCAATTTCTGTACAATGATTTTATATCCTGCAACTTTGCTGAATTCATGTATCAGTTCTAGCAGTCTTTTGATGGAGTCTTTCATGTTCTCCATATAGAGTATCATGTCATCTAGAAGAGTGAAAGTTTTGACTTCTTCCTTGCTGATCTGGATGCCTTTTATTTCTTTTTGTTTTCTGATTGCTAAGGCTAGGATTTCCAACACTATGCTGAAAAACAATGGTGAGAGTGGACACCCCTGTCGTGTTCCTGGCCTTAGAGGGAAAGATCTCAATTTTTCCCTATTGAGGATATTAGCTGTGGGTCTTTTGTCTATGGCCTTTATGATCTCGAGGTATGTTCCTTCTGTCCCTACTTTGATGGCTTTTATCAAAAAAGGATGCTATAATTTGTCAAATGCTTTTTCTGAATCTATGGAGAGGATCATCTGGTACTTATCAGTTTTTTTCGTTAATGTGATATATCACATTGGTTGATGTGCAGATATTGAACCAGCCCTGCAGCCCAAGAATAAATTCCACTGGATTGTGGTGAATCATTCTTTTAATGTATTGTTGAATTTGATTTGCTAGTATCTTGTTGAGAATTCTTGCATGCATTTTCATCAGGGAAACTGGTCTGTAATTCTCCTTTTTAGTGGGGTCTTTGGTTTTGGAATTAAGAGAATGCTGGCCTCATAGAATGAGTTTGGAAATTTTCCTTTCCATTTCTATTTTTTGGAACAGCTTCAAAACAATAGGTATTAACTCTTCTTTGCATGTTTGGTAGAACTCCCTTGGGAAGCCATCCAGCTCTGGACTCTGGCTTGTTGGGAGAATTCTGATTAATGATTCCACTTCTTTACTACTTATGGGTCTGTTAAAATTTTCTACTTCCTCCTGTTTCAGTTTTGGTAGTTTGTAAGTTTCTAGGAATTTGTTCGTTTCTTCCAGACTGCCCGAATTGTTGGCATATAATTGCTTATAATATTCTCTTATTATTGTATTTATTTCTGCAGTGTTGGTTGTGATCTCTCCTCTTTCATTCGTCCACAGAAACTTCTTACTAGACATGTCTCCAGAAGTAAGGGAAACAAAAGCAAAAATGAACTACTGGGACCTCATCAAGATAAAAAGCTTCTGCACAGCCAAGGAAACAATCAACAGAAATAAAAGGCAGCCTATGGAATGGGAGAAGATATCTGCAAATGGCTTATCAGAATACAAGGCTAGTATCCAAAATCTATAACGAACTTATCAAACTCCTCACCCAAAAAAACCAAATAATCCAGTGAAGAAATGGGCAAAAGACATCAACAGACACTTCTCCAAAGAAGACATCCAGATGACTAAGAGACACAGGAAAAAATGCTCAACACCATCAGAGAAATACATATCAAAACCACAATGAGCTACCATGTCACACCTGTTAAATGGCTTAATATTAACAACTCAGGAAACAAGAGATGTTGGCGAGGATGTGGCAGAAGGGGAATCCTTTTGCACTGCTGGTGGGAATGCAAAGTGGGGCAGCCACTCTGGAAAACAGCATGGGGGTTCTTCAAAAAATTAAAAATAAAACTACCCTATGACCCAGCAAGTGCACTACTAGGTATTTAGCCAAGGATACAGAAATGCTGATTCAAAGGGGCACATACACCTTTCAAATGCACCCCAATGTTTACAGCAGCACTATCAACAATAGCCAAATGACGGAAAGAGCCCAAATGCCCACTGACTGGTGAATGGATAAAGAAGGTGCGCGCGCGCGCGCGCGCACACACACACACACACACACAGACACACACACACACACACACACACACACACACACACACACACACACACAC